CTCTCGCGGTTCTGCCCTCGGGCCGACTCGATACCCTTGGGAGATCTTGGTCTTGGCGGAGGCCAGAAGGCGTTTCCCCGCGAGTGCGTTCCGTCCAACGAGGAATGTAGAAGAATCGGGTGGACCGCTGTTCTCCAGCTAGTGCCATCCGTGGCGTCAGCAAGGTAGCCGGTTCTACTGGTTCCTCGTAGGGAAAATCTTCACGATGTGCTCGCGAATGCGACGAGACGTCTGACTGCCAGGCTCTGTGACTCAGACACATACAGCATTCGAGCCCATTGCCACATCTGCCAACGCACACTCGCATTTGAAAAAGCAAGCAAGAGCACGTAGGAATAATGAAGAGGGCTTTGGAACACTCCTTACCAGACTTAAACTGGACGAGTCCTCAATAACGATTTTAGGCATGAATCGGTCAATCGGAGTTGAAAAGTCACCTTTGACTTGTGAATGTAGGAAGGCTACGCTTTTATGCACTTCTAGACAAGAGAGAACGCGAAGAAAATCCATTACGGTTTGGTGAATGAACATGAACAATATTCGTCAATTGGGTCAATGTTAATGTTCTCAATTCTTCAAGAAAAAGGGGGAAAAAGGGGGGGGGGGGGGTTGCTGAGGAGCCTTGCTCTTGCACGCTATCGGTGAGCTCTCGTTCACTAATGCGACATTGTGACACTGATGTGATACATCGATTGTGAATGATAACTCGAGACCAAAGGCTGAAATGTGCTTGTTCGAATATTAAACCGAGAAACCGGACTTGCTGACAGAAGCCTAAAATCTAGACTGAATGATTGTTATTGCCACAGAGAAGTTTATTCTCAGGAAGTTCTTGACAACACTCGACACGTTCTTTCTTCTCATCTTCATTCGGCATTTGGGGTGCTCAACGAGAAGAGAAAATTTTTCAGAAGCGAAAGCAATCCTTTAATCTAGATTGTACGCTTCCACGAGCAAATCTCTCGTTCTGTAATTGGAATAATTTTGCTTGAATCTTTGACCTCGAGTTGTCGCAAGCAAGGAATATTTGTCTCGTTCACTGAAGTGCCTGGCCTCAAGTCAGAGAGGGGCTCATCAGGAACACCCTCCCCTTCTCCCTTCCTCCTTCCCCCCTTTACCCTTCCTCCTTCCCCCCTTCACCCTTCCTCTCACCCTCCCCTTCTCCCTTCCTCCTTCCCATCCTTCCTTCAACCACCGAATCCAATAAGCGACGACGCCAGTCTTCTTTTGAAAAATCCTTTTTTTTTTTTCATCCACAAACCAGAAATTTCATAAATGGGGTCTCAAGATGAATCAACTATAGTTAGAAATTTGATTTTGGGTTATGCACTTCGATCGACCTATTGTTATTTCATGGTTAATGTCTTCATCGAGACTCGTCTAATTTAGATCCTGTAAAGAGTGTTGCAATCACTTTTAGATCACTCCTCGTCGTTACTCGAATGACATAAAGAAAAACACGAAGCGTTCGGGTCGAGGACTCCCGGAATATATGGGCGGAATGGAGAGAACTCACCTGAAGCGAGCCATTGTCCAGATGTTGGGACTTAATCGGCAAGAAGATGAGGAAGAAAAGAGAAAGTAAGAATAGGTCTTCACACGTATGATAGGAAAAATGAGTCTCTAGGCGTTCAACAGCCATTGTTTCAATCCCGGTATACCGAGATGAGGCACGTCTCAGAGAATTTCCATCGTTTCAGAATTGCGACGTGGAATTTCGATTTAGCACGTCTTGATGGTTTCCGCTGAGGGCTGCAAGGGTCAGATGCGGTCGAGATTGAAAGAATCTCCACAGAATCGCAGCTCGTAGCCAAATGGAGAACTTAATAGTTTACGACATCGTTGGTCAAATATTGAGCAAAAACATCACCTCCTTTACATTCTCGGTATGAGTTCACAAACCTCATCGCAATCGATTTTAATTTTATTTTAGTCATCATCGAACGATGAGCAACATAAGGAGACGAGACGGAAAGAGCGCCTCTACGTATTTTTGGAAAGGACTCACCAGAAAGAGGGAGAAATGAAAAAAAAGCGTGTGCGTGGCGATGATGCAAGACTGCAGACGGTGGGATGGCCTTCGTACGGCGAGTACGAGGATTTTTTCTATCGACTGGCGAAGAAGGAACTGCAAGGCCACCCGGGGGGGCCTCACCCTCGAACGTGAGATGGATCTAAGACAGAAAAAGCAGACGCTCGAGAGAAGCGAGACCGACGCATCTCGATCTCGGACGAGGGAAAAAGGCGTCGGGCAACTCAGACGGGGTTTTTCCCTCCCGTGTCCTTCGGGGGCTTCTGTTCCGTCTTTTTTTTCGTGCTTCGACCCCGAAAGCTTTCATTTCCATCGGATTTCGGTTCTGGGTTGCTTCTCTGGAGATCGCTCTCGGTCGTCTTTTCTGGGTATTCCCTGCTTTCTTCAGCTCCTTCTAATGCCTGAGCAGGGTTTGGCAAGATCGAGGACATTCCCTAAAAGTGAGGATGACCGTGTGAAACAGGCAGATGATGGTGTGCTCTGTATTCCACAAACATACGTCCCAAAGGGGAAGTTTTTATGTCGGCAGCGCAAACCGACAGAAATGCAATCGACAAACGTATCGGTTCGAACGATCACGAAGAGCGTGAATTATAGGTCGCATCAGATGATACGGCTGCAGAACGATGAGCCCTCGTTTGCACGGAGGGACAGACTTGACGGCTAAAACGCGAGCATTTTGGAAACGATGAGGTAAGGATCCCACGGATCCACGAGATTCCCAAGGATCCATCGATGGGAATCCCATCGATGAGCATTATTGGCACTCCATCGTGTTCACGCTTCTTCACCTTCTATCGGACCTCCAAGATGCTTTTCGCCCTGAGGTTTATCCACACGTTCGTTTCCCGGATCCGCGGCTGCACGATCCCGGAGGGCCCATATCGTCTGCACCCTTTACGATCCCCTCCAGCCCTGACAGTCTTCCCGCCCGTCCCTCTCGCATTCCAAGCTGCTAGACGTCGCTTGGCGGCAGTCTGAAAGCGTGCCAGTCTGGAAGGCGTCCCCCTTTACCGTATTTGGTGCCGGCTCGGTCAGGCCTATGGGAAGATCAAATTGTTTTATTCTGTTGCAGCATAATTCTGCAAGAATTACGTACGTTTGTATGTATGCTTAGTTGCGCTAGAAGAAATACGACGATTCCGAGGTCAGTTTCTTAATCACCAGAAGATCAGTTAAGAATACAATCGTCTTGTGTTGTACGTTCCCGAATTTTATTTCCCTCTTTTTCTAAACACATTTCAAAAGCGCTATCAAATGAGATTCTCTGCTCGTATTTTGTGAGGTTTTGCAAAAAACCAATCAAATTGCCAAAATCGAAGAAATAGCCTTCACGAACGCCGGAATCCCCCCCGAAGGAGCATCAATTGTTTCTTTCGCCCCTTTCGACGAGCCTAAGATCACATGAGATCGCGTTAAAATTCTGGCTTTAACGGTCCACGACTCCGTCGTCTTCCCGTGCCCCCTCCACGCTCAAATCGACATCTTGGACGTCCTCGGCCATGTCTGTCCTTGCAGGAATCTGAACCAGACCAAGACAGGTGAGCTCTCGTCCCCCCCCCCCTTCCCCACCATGCGATCTCCATGCGATCGCCTGTCTTTCAAAGGAGGGCTTTCGTTGCGCTTGCAGCCCATTCGGGGTCTCGAACGAGATAACGGCGGTAAATGGGTGCGGAGTCGGCAAGTCGCGCGCACGCGACTCCGTTCCCCCAAGCAGAATTCGGCGGAGTGTTAGCTCACGCCGTTCATCTGATGCCGGCGATCGCCCTGGCCGCCGACGTCCATCGGAATCGCAAATGGGGATCCCTGCGTTATGCTGCCGTCTATTTCTTCACCAGCTGCGTCATGGACCTCATCGGCATCTATCGGTCCTGTGAGACTGCATCACTTCCCTCGCGCTCTTTCCCATCTTGGCATGGAAGTTCAATATTTCTTTACGTTTTATTTCACTTTTCTCCCCTTTGGTTTCGAAAAAAATGTAAACAAAATGTATATTTCAAAGTCGAAGCCCTGTTGTGCCTGAATGGCCGGTTTGGAAACAGTCCAACCAATAAAAAGATCCGTAGACATGCAAGTCACATCTGATTTGAATGGAGTCATATGGAACATTTTTCAGGGGGCCGGATGAGGAACATCGTGGTATTCACGTGGCTCAACTGGTTTTCCTTCCTCCATGCGACCGTCGGCTTGCCATTCCTCGCTTGCCAGTTTCACATGTATTTGAACGATGACGTCAGGACGGGGATCGCCCACTGCTTTCTCACTGTCCTTCCCTATCTCGTCGTCAAGCAAAGGGTGAGGCCGGGTCTTCGTGTGGTCGAAAATAAATCAAAGATCCCTCCGTCTCTCTGTTTGACCTTCGTCGTCCACTCGACAGATGTATCATCCCCTGTACGACGTGAGTCGAGTGACCATCGCGATCGTATGCATCAGCATCGCCCTTCTCCACGTCGGCAAGAACGAAGCCTTGGGTTTTTACGGTGCCATCTGTCTCCTGTTCGCCTCCGAGATCGTCGGCACGTCTTGCGACACCATCTGCATGGTTTCCAGGTACGAAATGAGGAATACCCGGGTGCTCGAGCCGTTTCTTCCATGCGTTCCCTCCCCACTCTTCCAGGTACCATTGGTTCCTGGTGTGTCAGGGTATCGCGAACCTCATGTTCGTGGCAGAATTCTGTGGCTATCGGATGCAGTTGGCATCCTCGAGCTTCCTAAAATGTTGATGCTTTCTTCATCTGGAAGGGAAATTTCTCCCCCTTTTTTTCAGCCTCCCAGCTCGATCCCAACGGGAACAGCCATAACCCTACAGCATCATTCCTACTCTTAATAAAATGCCACCAAAGACCTTGCGACTCCGTTGATTATACATAGCACACCGGGAGACTCTGGTAACGAATGTTAATTTATTAATTTTTACTGAACGCGGATCACAAGACAAGCCATCGATACGGACACCCAAGCATATTTGCTAAAGACTCGTCGAAGGAGGTGCGTAAATGTGGTCAACGTCGTAGGTGCTCATGGTATCCCCAAGTTTCTTGAAGACCTTGGATGAAGCGGTTCCAGATCGTTGTGTGCCCTGCGATGGTTCGATGCTACGATTGAGGACCTGATATCCGTCGGGACCTGCCGTGTATTCCACCGTCACCCTCACGTTTCCGTCGTCGTAACTGTAGCTCCCCTTCACGTTGTTGTCCTTGTCCCCAGATTCAGATCGGCTCTGACTCTGTCCCTGGATCCCGTCTGCCACCTGGAAGTTGTATTCGTATGGAGGCCATTCCTACAAAAAAAGGGATAATCCGACAGTCATATAAACGCCAACTGACTTTTTTGTTCGACATCACGCTTTCCTTGAAATTTGTATTCAAACCATTCTAGTGGTCAAGCACAAATGTGTGGTCTTACCTCCATCGGATCAGAAGAGGATTCATCATCTGAACTCGAGGACTCTTCAGCTGAACTCAGGGACTCTTCACCTGAACCCAAAGACTGTTCACCTGAATTCGAGCCTGATCCAGTGCCATAGCCCTGAGGCGGAAGATCAAATTTAGGTGGTGGAACTGGGACTGGGAGAGGCTGTGGTTGGGGTTGAGGCCGGAAAACTTGAGGTAGTGGCTGAGGTTGGGGTAGAGGCTGGGGAGCGGGAATGGGTATCGGCTGAGGTCTGGGTTGAGGTTGGGGAGCGGGAATGGGTATCGGCTGAGGTCTGGGTTGAGGTTGGGGAGCGGGAATGGGTATCGGCTGAGGTCTGGGTTGAGGTTGTGGAGCGGGAAAGGGTATCACCTGAGGTTTGGGCTGAGGTTGGGGTTGAATTTGGGGGACAGGGATTGGTGTTCGTTGCGGCTGGGGTTGAGATGGAAGCGGTGGAAGTGGCGAGTAGTCTTGTGGAGTCGCTGCCCCTGACAATACCGTTCCGTCTTCGACTCCCGTTTCTTCCTGAGAGCTTTGTTGAGGTACGTACAGATAAGTCACTGCCGGTTGAGTCCTTCTGGGAGGACCGTATGCCGGAGGAGGTGGGCCATACTGCTGGGATGGAAGTGGGCTATACTGCTGGGATGAAGGTGGGCTATACTGCTGGGATGGTAGTGGGCTGTACTGCTGGGATGGAGGTGGACCATAGCCAGTAGACGGCGGTGAGTCGTCATCTTGGGATTGCTCTTGAGATTCTTCACTCGAGGAACTTGACTCTTGCGTTGAGTATAGAGGGATGCTCCAATATTGAGGTTGAGCCGATGGTGGGGGTGGTGGTGGTGGTGGAGGTGTAGTAGTAGTCGTCGTCGTCGTCGTGGTAGTTGACGTTGTCGGTGGTGGTGGTGGTGGTGGCGGTGGTACATACTGGTATTGCGGCTGAGCGGGCCAGTACGTGATTTGGGTCGATGGAACGGAATAACCCTGAACGTATTGGGCCTGCGGCCGTTGTTCCTCTCGCTGAGTTTGGATTTCCGCGGGTTGGTAGGAGTAGCATTTCGGCCCACTGCATTGCTGCTGAGGGGGTAGGTAGCTATATCCCCCGCCTTGGTAGCCTTGTGGCTCAGGTCGCGGCATGCTCCATGCCATTGACAGGCATTGGACCAGAACCTGGATTTCCCGAAAAACATTGAATGTAAATCATCTCATTTTTGGGCTGTGATATGCTGATTTTTGGATACAAGGACCGATAGCCATAGTAATCCATGCAGTAATCAATGCATCTCATCTGTAAGAAATCGGTGGACTGCCCAAGGGCAATTGTAAGGGCAAGTGCAGTATGGTGTAAAAGAAAAACCATATACAGGGTATGGAAAAAAAGGCCCAATAATTTTTGTCTCCTGCTCTTACCGGAGTATTTTTCATAAAACTTTGAAATTTTATCAAAAATTGTTCTGTCGAGGCAAGGCTGTGTATATTTCGTCAAAATAAATCAGAAATGCTATTTGGACAGGGGACTGGAGTCTCTTTAGGGCAACTAGATTCCGCCTGCCTCCTCGAACGTAAACGAAGTGAAAATCTGAGGAAAACTTTTAGAAAATTCCTCGTTGATATCTATTTGTTCATTGGTTAGTTATTTAAAAAACTTTTGGAAACAACTTGTAATAAAAGGCCGTCCTAAAGAATGAGTTTTGACAGAACAGGTACTTGACGCGTCCTATATGACATACAACCACAGAGCGAATGAGTTTCCACCAGTCGACCACCAGAACCCACTCCTCTCCATTATCAATATCCAACTACTTTCGAATAATGATTGCCTTGCCACAGAACAGAGATTCAAGTGAAATTTTAGAAGCCTCTTAGAAACGTATCACCTATGCAAAGTGTAAACCTCATAATCAATAAAACCTACAGATTTTATTGATGAGAAGAGGGTAGCATTTTTCTTTCAATACCCTGTATTTTCATGTCTCAAGATTCCCCAAAACTAGATTTTAAAGATACCTTTTTACTACACTGCATTTGGGATTTACAATATATGCATGTTTATATTATCGGTAGAAATTCAGACAGTATTTTCTCTTTTTTTTTTCCTATTTCACAGTCGTTCGGAAATGACGGAGGAGTAGGTAAATGAAGGCTCAGAAGGCTCCTTGGAAGCTGATCCATTAAACCTTTCAGACCTGAATCAAGGCCATAATCGGAATAATATACTTTTTTGCAATTTTGAGCTCTTTTCCTATTCTACATTAATTTGTTTTGTGTTCTATATATCGTTTTTATATTTTGTATAAATTGACCATATCATACAACAAATTACATCTTATACATTTAATTATATAACTGACGGGTGCGAGGCCTCCGATGGAATTGAGCCATGCATAATTGCGTCTATTGTAGTGTAATATTGGGCGCAAAGTCACGAGAATTCCAAGAAATTACCATAGAAACAATGAAAATGCTATGTCCATTGGAATAGACGCGGGGTCTGAAAGAGTTAAAGCGGTCGGGACCGTTGATAACCCTCGTGCGATTGGATGGAAATAACGCAGGGGGAGTGGAGGAAGAAACGTATTAATTCACCGGCAAACCTTGGATACGGAAAGAGATTTTTAAAATTGCGCGGAAGTGCGTGAATTCGCAGTTCCTGCGTTCCATTGATGATATTTTCATTTCCCAGCCGCGTATGGGCTGATGAAGGCTGAATAGATTAATTTAAGAACAAAGCAGCTGAATACGCAAGCCAGCATCACCTCTGCACTCATCACCAGGGACGTAGCCAGGGGGGTGTCTTGGGTGTCTGGACACCCCCCGAAAAAAGCAAGATTTCATGAAACAAGGAGTATGAGAAAGGGGGGGGGGGGGGGGGGGGGGGGCTTCGTCATCTCATGAGCCTGAAAGAGCCTCACAAGACACCACCCGAAAATAATTCCTGGCTACGTCCCTGCTCATCACCTCAGATACCGCTAGTAGACGCTAGCAGGGGAAATGTGAGAAGAAAAAAGATGAAAGAAATGATAAAGTTGGAAAATCTCATAATCGTTGCTACAGAGGGATCGCTGGCGTTGATTCTTCCAGTGCCGAAAATTGCTTTCGAGCACATAAATGCATTACAACTGGACAAAGAAAAAAAGTACGAGAAGTAGCATCGAACTGCTTAACAGAGATATGCCTGGCTATAGAAGATATAGAAGATGCATGTTCTTCATGGAGATGCATCATGCACGCCGTCCTACAAATAGAACGCTAGGCATATCTAGATTAATAAATGAATCAAACTATTGCTGAAAATATTACGATTGTTATTGAGATTTTACTGCCTGCTGAAAGGTATTTAGGCACCTTCTCAAACTGAAAGACCAACAGAAAAGAGAAAGTGAAAATGATCCACAATTAAGAAGACTCCTCACAATCATGTTCGAACGGTGTAAGTTTCCAATAAGCATCGAGTAAAATACACCAAATGTGTGTATTGGGATTGGCGACAATATACAAGATAGGCAAAGTGCCAGGATATCAAAAGCCAGAACTCGAGACCTCTAACAATGAATCGGATCCTACACGTGTAATCATTACTTCTTTCCATCATTTCATGCAGGTTCGTGTCAAATTTCTACCTGAGTCTCTATCGAGTTAGCCGAACTCATACCAGAGGGAACCCTATATTCAAACTCAAATATGCCCGGTACTGGTGAATACCAACCACGCTGCATCGATCGGGATCGGATTCAAATTCAGGTGAAAGGTAAAATACAGATTACATGAACGGAGCTAGTATCTTTGAGTCTACGAGGACTCGCAGTCCTATTATTTACTCACTACACGTAATTATAGACTTTGATTACAGGTGTCGCTGTGTTGAGATGAAACTTAAAGCACAGGGTACGAGGCAGGAGCTCACCCAAAGACGATTCCTCATGATTGAAAAGACGTGAGGTAGGGAGTGAAGTGAACACCGGGGAGGTGCGATCGGGAATGAAGTGAATTGTGGGGAGGTAGGAGCTTATATGAATCTCTGGGTCCGGTAACCTTGTCCTTGAGGTCGACTTCCCTTGGGGAGCTCCTGGTGCATCCATGGAGAAAGTGGTCTCCACAGTGTCTATTTATAACGTGACGTGATTCCCTGCTCTTTTTTTTTTGCCTCTCTCCCTCTCTCTCTCTCTCTCTCTCTCTCTCTCTCTCTTTATCTCGGTCGCGCGCGCCCAGGGGAAAGAATGCATTCCTAGGTATAATCTAGACATTTTTGGGGGGTGGGGGGAAACTTCTTGGAGAGGAGAGAAAAGTTACGCAATGAGCATCGCTTCTTTTGACGAGTGGCCATGGCCAGAGGGGGAGGGGGCCATCCTCTGATGTAATGTCTTCTATCGCCTCGCTTTCCATTTTCTTCCTGGTACTCTGACGCCATGGGAAATCCACTTTTTATGTTGGCCTCGTTCCGAGAGACTGAGAAGCAGGCTCACTCAACCTGTTGCGGTGAAAATGCTTCAGTTTGATTAGTCGAGGATCGATCAATAGATAAATGAAATGAGGCGATCATGAGGGCATCCCGGCATTTTCTTTTGTCATTTTCTTTTATTTTATCGAAAAGCAAGACTAGAACCGGAGCAGATGAATCGAAATCAAACTTCATCGCGTTCCATTATCGAAATGCTACTGAAACAGTCAAAACAGTCCAGTCGCAAGAAATTTGCCTCGATCGATCAAAGTTCGGTGAAACTCATTACTACAATTTGAAGAAAGAATGGCTGGACCGGTTCGCATCAGAAAATATGATTTTTTTTAAACAGACCTACTGAGAGTCCCGAAATTTCTAAACAGCAGTACAGTGAAATCACTTGACGCAATGCCAGTCCCTCTCGTTTCGGTGGTGACTCAAAAACGAGTACGAGGAATAAGTACGACGTGAAATGCGACGCGTAGGAGCACCTTTGTGTTCACCACGAGTCGAGCCACAAGAAATCGTCGCGAAAACTGAAAAGAACGGCGACCTCTCACCTTTATTGCAACTTTCTCATCCGTATCCTGTTGCCGTCTCAAGTTTTTCGATGAATCGATCCCTAAGTGAAATTGCTTCCTAGGTTGAATATTTGGACCGAAGAGAAATTGCTTGCATTTTTCCCTCGCACCTTAAGACTGAAAATCCGGAACTGTGAGCCCAACTCTTTCATATTACCGTGCTGTGCGTTGAGGGACCAATTACGACACTTGCCGCACGATTTTCGAGGAAAGTCATGAGATGATGTCGCACGACTTCAACTCTTCCACTCGAGCCGAAGTTTTTCTTCGGACCGTGGTCACCATCAAATTTTTATTTTCTGCATCTCTTTGACCTATTTCGCCGGGATTAATTGTCTTTTATAAAGGAGAGGCATTGCCAGCAATGTTTTATTTTTATTTCAAGGAAATATTTTCATGAGACAGACCGAGCAGGAGATATTGAACCCCATGGGATCGTAGTTAACGTAGCCACAACACCTTCAAATAATGCGGTAAGTAATGTGGCAAGGGCACTCTGGTCGTAGTGCTGAACATGACAACCGCTCTCAGGTCTCTTCTCGCCTCTGATTCTTCGTGCAGGCACCAGAATCCTGCATACTGAGCAGATGATATGATCCCGTGCAATACTCCGTCAACATGTAATTTTCCCCCGAAGAAATAATGATGATGACTTTTCTCGTACGACGAGTGGTCTGTGAAGCGGAAAACCGGGACACGACTCAGACAGACTCAAATATACGGTGAAAATGCACACCGATTCCGCCTCTGATTTCTCTGTGGTTCCCTATTCATGAGATTCTGTCTCGAGTCCTTTCTCTGGAAACAATTCGACCTTTCACACGTGTCGGGCTCCGAGAAGAGGTCCTCAAGGATACTAGCCGAGAACGAGAATTCCATATTTCAAAGTAAGGCATTTTAAGTATAGCATTTAACAATCGAACAGTTTCGACTTGACATCCCCCCCCCCCCCGGCCGAAGATGTGAATACGAATTTATGATATGAAAGCATGCACGCAGATCTCCTTGAGATGGACAGGAAGGATCCCAGTCCAGGCAGTAAACATTCTCGACCTAGATTCTCGAGTCCATTGGGTGTCCACGTGGAAAGGACCCAGCAGTCTCATGAAAGTCCTATGCACAAGGTCGCGCTCTCTGACTCATCCATAAACAAGGAAATTCGGGCTATTGCATCACCGATGGGCTGCCGCACAAAAATTGGGGGAGGGGGGGAGGGGGGGTAGGGGAGGGGGGAGGGGAGAAGGAAAGGAAATAAGAGATCATTAATCCGGCCCCAGGCACACCTAACACATTTTCACTTTCTTCATCTTTTTTTTCGGTTCCTTCCTGTCCTGTGGCTGTGGAGGGGTCCTATTGTCTGTTCCTTCTTCATACACCCTCATCGTCAGAAGCGTTTACTTTTCCTTCTATTTTGTGCATAAATGCGCCCCTCGGGTGTTTCTCAATAACCAACACCCATTCCGGGATTCCAGACTATTCTACTTCACGTGGAATTCGTGGAGAAGAAAAAGTATATCTTTAATTTTCTGCGCTTCGTCGGTGCTAAATTGACACGGTCGGCTGCACCCTCTTGGTAATACGAATGGACGAATGCTCCAAAAACTCTTTTAACCATAGGTCCTATTAAGAAATTTTGCAAAGCGGTAGATGTACAGCACTAGCACAACATTTTTACACCTACTCACGTACCATATTGTGAGGCGTGCACAGGTGAACGGTGGTGTGCGTCATGGAGCGGTGGTGTGCGTCTAACGAACAATACCCGAACCGGAGCAGTGGCACAACCAGACTTGAGTTTTGGAGATGGGAAGCTTCTCCTGCACCGCTGTCAGAAGAGATTCTTGAGTGTGCGCGGGGTCGCCGGGGGGGGGGGGGGGGGGGGGGGGGGGGGGGGGGGGGGGGGGGGGGGGGGGGGGGGGGGGTGGGGGGGGGGGGGGGGGGGGGGGGGGGGGGGGGGGGGGGGGGGGGGGGGGGGGGGGTGAGCTAAGGTGTGAGTGGGGAGTGCTGAAGGAGTTGACTTGGGTGTAGGGAAAAAGGTATCCGGAAATAAGACCACCAGAATTGGGAAAGGCAGTAAAGTGCCATCTCGTTATGTTCAAGTCAGATTAAAGATGCATTCATTTTTGCGACATTTAGTGATATTCATTTCATCTAATTTGTTCAACTTCACTGAAATGTTATGAAAAACAAATGTTATTAAAAAATAACTCCAACTTCAGCACATTTCTTAAAAATGAATAGTATGGCCAATCCCCCCGCAGGAAATCTCTTGATGGTGGCCGTGTTGAAGGATGAGACGAATGCACTCTCTGAACACTTCTTGGAATTTGTTAGCAATTGCTCTGAGATCATATAAGGTTTTATCTCCCTCCAATCCACTTTCACCACTATTCCAGGTGGTGGAGAGGATCAGGATTAGCTCCCCTCCTCAATCCACCCATTGAACCACCCATCAAGGCGGCCCAGAGGGGGGGGGGGGGGGGGGGCCGGGGACTAGCGGGGGGCCCAGGGGGGGGGGGGGGGGGGGGGGGGGGGGGGGGATCGGGGACTATCGGGAGGCTCCAAGGGGGCCCCCAAGGTTGTTTTGCCCTGGGACTCTGGAAACCTCTGGGCGGCCCTGTCACCCATCGCCCCCACCCCCATCTCCACCCACTCTCCCGAAGTCTGTTCAAGCATTGCATTGAGATGAGCCGAGCATAGCCGTTCATAGCCGAACAGAGTCCTTCCTCCCTTCATAATGAAAGTAGAAAAAAGAATATTTCTATGGATTTAAAGAAGAGCTTCCAATAGGGCGATGCTTTGCATCTTCTATCGCTTAATTCTCAACGAATGGAAACGAAAAATCAGTAATATATCACTTGAATAATTGGTGGCACTTTACCCTTAAATATTAAAAACATGGATAAGAATCAGCCACATCCCAGCATGAATGTGTCTCAACGTCGCCAATTGAACATATTTAATGACCTGATACGTATAAATATATATAAATGAATCGTTATGAAACAATCACCCGGGGTAGCTTTTTTCTGCTTTTGTCAATTCTGGGGGTCTTATTTCCAGGTGCCTTTTTTCGGAACCCCGGTTAACATGCCGTTAGCAACAATGGTTAGCATGCCCTTGGCTGCATTTTCCAGACTTTTGGGGGTGGGGGGAGTGCGGGGGGATACGAACTCCTTCCTTAGTTGTGCCACTGAACCGAACGAAGATGAGTTATTATTAGCTATTGGTAAATAGTTATTAGCTATTGGTAAAGTCGGCTTTTTCGTCGCTGGTTTTGCTGTGTCGGAAAAATAATTGCTTCGGGAAAGTCTAGCAATGAAATGGGATAGACATAGAGAATTTCGTTTGAAAAAGTTCAATGGTAAAGCGAGAGGAAATGTTAAGGCGAGAATTAAAA